GAGCTGCTTCGCATGTTCAGGCGGCACAGTACCAAAATGGTTAAGCACCGAGGAGATTTTGGGATTGGATCTGACCCCACTCCAATCGAAGAGCTTAAAGGGTCCAAGGTTGCCCTTAGTCAGCACACCCCACCAACGATGCCTACGAGAGACCCACACATCCTAACTCAAGTAAAATGTGCTCGTAATGAATTCCCGAGACACCACAAAAGGCTCGAATGCACTCCTCGAAGGCCGGGAACTTCACCACATCTGCAACACACTCAAGCACGATGATTGGGGTTTGCATCCAATAGGCTGCACGAAGAACCTTTGGTAAGCAGTTGGACCTGGCATCTGCTTCACCTCGACGATCTCCCATTCTGGAAAAGGGTTGGCATGAAACCCCTGCAGTGAGGATCCCTGCAGATGGAACATGCTTCATGATAGTGGCCACCGTCACCGTCGTCACCGTGTCACCAATATCACCCCGAACAATGAGGGGACCCTGTTGCAGCTCCAAGAAGTCGCAGATCTCACTTCGGACTTCGTTCTGGGCCATCACACTAAAGCCAGCATCAACCGCCCCCTTTCCAAGTGCTCCCAAACCTGTGCAAGTCTCCACCACTTGCATCAGGGATTCCGGTGTGAGCAAACGATGGGGAAACCTAAAGGACATACCATCCATCTGCACTGTGGGAATCGGTCCAACTTTGATGACTAGCACATCCAGAAAGGTAAACCGAGTGGCTTCCAACTGCATTTGCTCTTGCTGAGTCCATACCTTCCGTTTCATACGAGTTGTTTCACCAAGTATCCAACCAGACTGATCCTGCCACTCAACTTGGATCACCATCGAAGCTCTAGCCCCCGACTCCAATGTAGACAAAGTTGGTTCAACAACATGGCACTCCATGGTCAAATTCGGCCCGCACCGCCCTGCCACTGGTGGCATTTGAACCCAAGGCTAATGCCTTGAAACACCTCTGACATTACAATCCACTTTACATTGACCATGACCATGTTTGAATAAAATGAGGTTGTTTAAGCATGTTTAAGCTCTATTCTCGGTGCGCACACACACACACATATATATATATAATGTACATATTATGTAGAGTAATTTAGAGGTGAATGGAAGAATTCTAAGCGCTTGTCACGTGCTCGCACTCTCAACAAGCTTATCGGATGTCATGATATGCTGGCAAAGACATGCATATAGCCGCACAGCTGCTGGATGTTGTCACCTTGTCGGCAAGACAGAGTTCCCTGGCTTAAATGGAATGAGATGACATGTCCACCATGTCCTCATGAGCTAAGCTGCATTCAGTCGGGGCAGCGATAGGAAGACAAGAGCGGGCGCCATGGCCGTCCCAACCGGCTACAATCAAAGGGTGTTTGAATTGCAAGGATCCTAGAGCTGTTAGTCTCACGCTGCGAGCACTTTCATAGATGAGCTTGAGTTCTGTTTTGCAGTTTGTGTGGTCTGGATGGAGTCCACATATGCAGGAAAGAGGATTGTTTGTTGATTGTCTTTGCTCAATCCTAGACCAGGATTTGAAGGCAGACATGGCTGGCACTTTGCTCAATTCAGATTCCTTCACAGGTCAAGCCGCGTCTCACAGCTGCAGCAACAGCTGCACTTTGGTCGTACGTTGCAGCACGGTGCCCAAATGCTGAATGACTAGATTGGATGAAGGAAGGGATGCTTGAAACACCGCTGTTCTAGTTTGTTCAAAGCTGTGTGTGCATGATGTACTTGGGTTTGTGGTTCACCCACGCCTGCCAACTTTCCCTGCTTTGATTCATCAATCAGCTACATTGGGTGCCAGATGGTAATTACCAGTCAGTCCACAAACACCGCCGGAGATGCCCCCTGTAGCCTGGGAACCAAGCTGGCAAGGAGGATGCTTGAGGCTGCCACTTGGGCCTTGATTTGCTGCTTCTCAACCGAAACTGTTCATGCACTTGCGTGTTGCACGAGCACAAACAAGAAAGTTGGAAAACATCCGATGTATGAGGGCGCTGTGGCACATGGTGGCAGGTCGCATGTCACCACACTCTTTAGCACAGAATTGTTATGTATATATATATATATTGATGCGTTGGACCTGCCCTTGCCTTGCAGGTGTTCAAAGCATATCAAGTTAGAAAGTCCTAAACTATGAGTGCAGAACGCTCTTCAAGGGTGTTGAAGTGGGGTCAATAATGAGATGATGCAGCAAGCCGTACGGACATACATATATACATATATATATATGTGTGTGTGTGTGCTAGGAATGGACACATTTTGTAGGTGCCTGGGTGTTGTCAAGAGGCTTTTGTCACAGTTCCCATTCTTTCCACCCATTCCATTCACAATTATGCCTGTGCCATCCGATGTTTGCATTCTTCCTTGCGTGTTCGGAGGACGTCCTTGATTGTTCCTCCGAGCTTTTGGGTTGTCTCCCTTGTTCCAAAGTGTTCGGTGGGTTCTGGTCCAAGATCTCGACTTACCAAGGCTACTAGGCACTCACCCAGCTCACAACCAGAGGTGTACAGTCCAAGGGGGCAGCCCGGGGAGACATGGCGGTCACTTGACAGGGCAGAACAGCTTCAAAGCCGTCTCGAAGGCCTTGCCGCCAGGCCGGCCATGAAACAGAAAGACACTTTGAAGCTAGTTGCAGCGAGTTGTTGCTCTATGACGTGCGTCAGGCTTGTGGCTGTCCGCTGTGGCTAGCTGAGGTGTTGGCCAATTATGGATGGAAGTATTTAACTGATGGAACAGAAAGGAATGGATTGTGCCATACTACAGGTCATCACTGTGCTAAGGCAGTTTTCATTCCGAGTTCTGCCTCCTTGCCGAGGAGTGGGTGTCAAATCAATGGGCCAAAGATTCGATGATAGACATGTTAAAAAAAGGTTCCGCTGTCAATTGGATAATTTGATCATGTCACATGGAGGTACATGGACAATTGAGTTTTGATGTTTCTACCAATTAGTTTGAGCATGTGCTTTGATCTTGGTGCCTGACGGAATCACCAAATCATGAACCAACGCAGCCTGCCATACGTTGGACCTTTTGGGGTCGGACTTGCCAAAAGCTAGGAGTGCAGCAAGGTATGATGTGCTGGAAGGTGAAAACAGCAAAAAGCACCAGAAGAGTGCTCGGCGGTGGCCTTTTTGGTTGTCCTTTACAAGGCCTTCCGGCCATCATTACACTTGAAGGTGCCGTGCCCATGACCCCTGCACATGCAGCGCCTGTAGCAGAAGGGGCATCCTGAAGAGAGCCCAGCATTTACTCCTCACAGAAACTGCATAACACTGTGCTTTAGAAGGAGGCCTTTCTGTTTGGCAATCACGCCAGCCATTTGTGTTCAGCACGCGTGCAGACGGAGGACATTTTTTTGTGTTGTAGTAATTCCATCTCTTGCCCACCCAATCTGCTGAAAAGCATGACCTGGCCAGGCACATGTTTTGGTAGAGCATATAAATATACATAAGTCTAGGACTGGACTTGCTGCATCAGATGTGCTTTGATCTGTTGAAATGTAGATCCCTTTGCTGCGGTGCTTCCTTTGCTTTGCTTGCTCACAATGACATTTTGCTGGTTTTTGTAAACTTCTCACTTCGTCAACGTGCCTTCTCCATTCTCACTTGACACCATTAGGAGGCACATACGATTCTGTCGTTTTCTTCGATCTTAGTTTGAGTAGCTTGCCTGTCAGCCTGCATCAACGGCACCAGACTTAGCACAACGTGGCAAAGCTCATGGCATTTGTCTCCTCATTTCTTCGTGGCCTGGGGCCGTAGCCACAACCTTTGTGCCGAAACATTGCCTCAGATACTGTGCGAGGAGCTTGCAAGTTTGCGAAAGGGCTTGGAGGCGACTTGTGGCACGCCGTAGGTTTGGCATGGATTTGTGTCGCATGGGTCGCAGGTAGCAAGGCGAGGACGCCAAATCGATGTCCAGGCCTTGCCATGCTTTGAACGCAGCTTTGGCTGCGCAAGCTATGTGACACTTTGGACATATAGTCATGCATAATTTAGTATTTCAAGGTGTTGACCCTTTTGGGAGACTTGCTCCATTAAGAACTGGGAACGAGGGAATCTTGAGATGCCAAGGGTGAAAAGAAGTCATTTGGTGGATGAGCGGATCCTGACGAGCGGTGTGAAGGTTTGATTTGTCATAGCCATCAGACGCACATGTCTCATTTCATCAGCAGTTTTGTTTTGTTCTTTCTTCCAACAGGCCCAGCAGAAGCAGCTGAGCGCCATCGACAAACATCTTCAAGAAGCCTTTCAGGACTGGAGAAGAGGCTGAAGAAGGTGCAAACAACAACATTCTGATCCCCTTGTCACGCGCACCTGCATTCCCATGACTGACGTCTCTAGTTTACTCCACCTTAAGTATATTCACTACCAATCAATGAGTAATCAATCAGGCGGACTAGTTCCTTCCGGCACCCTTGCCACCGAAGCTCCGAACATCGCCCTCGCCTCGCAGGAAGCATAGCGCAGGCGCAACGCGTAACCCAGAGTTATGACCGTGGGGAGAATACCATAGAATACCACTGTCATAGCGCTGGAAGCAATTGCTCTTACAGGAAGAATGGTCCTGGCGTAGCCCGTCAACCGATTGTTGTTAACCACCCACCCCACCCGCCCCACATACCCAACACATAGCGTTACCTGTTGAGAACACCCACGATCTCCTGTATATAAATACCACGAAAAATCTTTTAGGTCGTCGCATGAGACGAAGCACACGATCCCCTGCACTGTGCCACTGGGATTTGCTACCCATGCCGTGCGCGCGACAAGGATACCGGAAGGAATAACAAGGTGCAACGCCAGAAATGTGAAATGTGTCAAACTTTAGGGGCATGTTACACATAACTCGCATAACTGTACAAGTCGCAGAGCACGAGTTGGCCCAGTTCAAACATGAATCTCACCCGTCAAATGCTCAATACAGCAACATAAATGTTGTCAAGCGCTTTGCACACTGTTTGAGGAAGCCCGCCATCGAGGTGGCGAGAGTGAGGTACAGTAGCAACATGGGGAGCAAGTCTTGACAGAAAATCTCAGTGTCATTACATCATCGAATCATCGTTGTGTTTGCTGAAATCCGGCATATTTATGTGTGGCTCAGAATGCAAAGCCAAAAGCCTTGGTTGGCCCACAGCACTTTTGGTCAATGTTTTTGCAGCTTTTTGCATGCGCGCGTGGCTTGGTTTGGCCTGGGGGGGTTGGGGACTTTCTTTCATGACCGGGTCCTACCAATCTGCGAGATCAACGCTCGCAAAGACTTGGCATGTGAGAGGCCTCACTAGACAAGCCAAGCGCTTGAAGTCGAAGGACTGTGATATTCCGGAGACATATATTGAAGATAGTGAAGGAATTGAAGGCCTTTATTTCAACCAAAAGTCCCTGCTTGCTGAGCACCTCTTCGCGAATGAGGGGATCCCCGCCTTGAGAAGATGGAGCAAGTGGTACAAGGCTCCTTGGTGGCTACAGCAGGGTGATTTGATGACAATGCTTGCTGGGAGCCTCCGTGAAGTTGCAAAGCTAGATGCTCCCCAGAAGCTCTCGGTGCAAACTTTGGGTGGGGAGATGCCACTGGACCTGTTTTCGGACCCAAGCCCGACAAAATCCAAGGCTGTGATTCTCATTCCAGGCCTCGGCGGAAGTACGGAGGGAGGTTATGTGAAAAACATGGCAGAATCATTGATTCATTCAGGTTTCGTCGTAGCGGGTCTCAATCTCGGATCGGCTTTGCAGAGACCTCGTTCCGCCTCAGCACATAGAGGATCGAGTGATGACTTGCGGGCAGTCGCGAAATATATTCGACAGAATCTGTTGAGTGAAAGCCCGAGCGCAGACCGGAAGGTGTTTGCCATTGGGTGGAGCTTGGGTGGTAACATCCTAGTCAACACATTGGCAGAGCAGAAGACAAAGGAAGGATATGCTCACGACAATTTCTCTCTTATTGATGGTGGAGTCGCCCTTTGTACAACACATTGTTTAAGCCGATGCGCGACACAGTGGGAACAGCATTGGCCAATGAGAAATGTGTATGACCCTCACGTGCTACGAAACTTGAAGCGGTTGCTGGAACCAGCTATTCCCTTCTACCAACAAGGGCCTGTGCGGTCTTGGAATGGTACAGACACACTGATAGACCACAAGATGCTAAAATTTGCTACACGGATTAGAGATGTTGACGAGGCACTTATCCGGCGAATGTTTGGATACAAATCTGTAGAGGACTACTACTATCAAGCAAGCTCTTGCAGAAGATTAGCCGAGGTAGAAGTACCGCTGCTCATGGTCAGTGCAGCAGATGACCCCATGGCGACTAGCTGGGCACCTTTCAAGACAGTGCGTGGTAGTAAGCACGTGATCCTTGCATACACCAAGCATGGAGGCCACATTGGATGGCAAGACGAATCCAATGCACGGAAATCCGAATGGGTGGAAGATGTGGCCACCAGCTTTTTGAACAGACTTCTGACCTTCTGATGATTCGTTTGGCGATCTTCTGACCGCAGCAACTACCAGAGACCTCGCTGATGACAACACAATCCAGAAGCAGACCAAGAGTCTCAAAAGGTGGCGCAGCTGCTCCAGCAACTCAGTAGCCAGCGAGGCTGATGGTATCAAGAGCTCGGTGCTGCGGAAAATGTCGAGCGAATCCAACAAAGTCAGGATCTCACAGATGTGTTTGCTGCTTATGTAGGAGCGTTTGGGTGCAGACCAAGGGATCTATGGGTGAAGCTTCCTTAGTTGGCCCTAGTATATAGGGCCACTCAAAATCAGGGACGTTTCGCCGTTTGCAGGCGCGGCTCCTGCAAGCATTTGATGAACGCTCGCAGCTTTTGCGCAACACCCTCGGATGACTGGTGACAAAATGACACTACATCCATAACTCGCCCTTACTTAGGCGAAGCGATAGATGGAAAGAGCGGCCTAAGACACAGCGCAGAGGAATTGCTTCGGAGGCACAAGTGCGAAAAATTGCTCACAGACTCCCAATTCCTCAGTCCTCGGGTTTGGCTCAGGTTCCTTGAAAAAGAGGTTCCCGAGCTACGTGCTCGCCTTGCAGAGGTGGAATTCCTGGCTCCGGGTGGGCCAGTTCCCTGTCCTGAATCTGCTTGGTGTTAGTCTTGTCCTGTCCAGCATGTGGGGGAGACCAGTGGCACAATGAATGGTAGCATATGGCATTGATATGTTGGGGGGTGGGAGCTTGAGATGGTATCGGTTGGGTTGGGGGAAGTTGTTAAATGATGTTGCTGTAAATGTTTATTTGGGCATCTTTCTTTGGAAAACCGCACCCTTTGGAGGCTGCCGAACACCGTGCCGCCCTGCAACATCGAGCACTTGAGCGTGTTAGGCTAGCGGCTAGTGTTGGGCCGCTGGGGAGCAAGGGTCTTCAAGCAACCGCTGCACACTGTTTGCATGCCCTCTCAACGCAGACATAGGTTAGGCTATGTTTTTCCCCGTTTCATTCTGAATCTTGGAATGACAAAGTTTTTGTTTTGATCGTACTGGTATGGCTCAGTTATCCGAATATGCTTGCTTGTTGGCAGCGTTTTTAACTTGCATTACATTGGCCGCAGCTTGTTGCTTCCGAACACGCCAGCAACATAGCACCCATTCCGGGCATTTGCGATTGACCACAAGTTTGGCTCTCAAGTTTCAAGCGGACATCGCACACTTCGGGGATATGTGCATTCGTTGTTTCTTGATGTTTCATTGTAGATGGTGTAGCATCGCTTGACCGATTCCTGCCTTTAGCATGATGTTGAAGCTCCTGTTGGGCCAATGAGGGCCTGGGTGTTATTAAAGATGCCTTGCTCGGCGACCAAGCAGTGCAAGAGATTTTTCTGTAGGACATAGTGTGGGGGTGGGCACGCTGCCTCAAACCAACGTGCTTACGATGGAAACGGACGATGAAGATGTGGATGCTTACCTCGACAGCTATGTTCTCAGCTTGAACTTGGCACATTCGTTCAGTTTTTGCATCGCATAGCATGACGTTGGCAGTTTTTGAGGCCTGGAAGCTGAGAGCGCCACATTGCAGGCAATGATTCTTCTTTGACTTTGTTGCTTGCACGATGGGAAGAACGGCCCAAGGCGCGAACACCGTCTTCCTCCAGCAGAAGACCCCAGGTGGCGTAAACTGCGTGTTGGGACTTGAGTGCGCACCTTCTAAGTTACTAAGAAGGACAAGCAAGTCACAGGATAAGTAGAATTAGTAGAAGTAGAACAGGGGAGTCACTGACAAAAGGCATTCTGCAACCAAAGTAAAGATGCTTATCCAAATTTCACAAGAGTACAAATATGTGTGTTTGATTCTTGTGAGGCACCGCCTGCACTCTCAGCGCCGTGCGCTTGCTTTCACATTATCAAGTCTGTCTTGGAAACGCAGGCATCCTCGTGAAACTGTTTGATTTCGGACGCTTTCCTGTTGGGGTGATGTGACCGCGTGCATGTGCAAACATTTGGGTGCAAGGCCAATCTGCAGCAAAGTGGCTTTCAGTCCGTGAGTCTTTAGATGAAGATGTTCTCAGTTCGAAATTCCCCTCATCCCTACAGCTGCAGCCGCATCGATTCGCAGACTGTTCATGACTTTTCAAGACCACCTTTGTGCAAACAGAACTTCAACTAGCATCCATAAGCCAGCTCAATGAGGGCAGGTCTTAGCAATTTCCATTGAAACAACGCACATAGTCACTTGCAATCAATTCGATTTGTGGCACCAGCGGCTCAGAACAACATATGATTGACACCTGGCCTCATGGGACATGTGCAGCGAGCCTCGTTTTTGCAGATCCAGCTTCAGGTCGTGTTTCATCCTTGCAGGGCCGTGCTACTTGGTGGCAGTGGCGGCAAGATGCAAAGGGTAAGGGTACTGTAAGCAGGGACGGCACAAGGTTGCTTTCTCCTCAGGTATAAAATCAAGAAAATCAAAATGCACGATTGCCAACTTCCGAGGTTTCTTTGTGGTGGTTCTAGGTTCCATCCTGTACGAGAACACCACACAGCTCAATGGAAAGGGGCCGATGGCACGGCATGCGCTTCAGCTACAAGAGCTGATCTTCACCCCGTCAAGTGACTCTGACAGTCTGGATTCATCGACGAGCGATCAGCCTGAGGCCAGAGTCAGCCTTGATGCAGATACTACAACCAGCGAAACGGGTGACCAAAGTCGTCCCTCTCCTGGTTCTCAGCATCAGTTTGGCAGACCTGGGAGGTCACAATCTGCAAATAGCACTGAAAGCATTGCAAGCTGGTGGAATTCCAGCTACTTTGATACAGTAGCGCGGGAGGAACGTTTACTGTGTCCTGCTTCTGCAGAGGTGTCTACATGGAATGGCCGGCTGGGAAATCACATCCATCAGATCTTGAATCTGTTGCTTTTTGCTCATTTGTGCCATGTCAGCGACGTGCGTTTCCCCAAGCACCAGGACAACATGCATGCGTACAGTCACCAAATTGGGCTGTTGGACATGCCAACAAAGCTCAAATTTCCTCATCAAGACCCAAAGCTGAAGCACTTGCTCAAGTGCCCGCGTCACGCCAACCACAGGCATCCCTGGTTTGGGAACTATTGCGGCTTGGCCTCCTTTGATTCATCAAAAGAAGGAGTGAAAAGTGAAGTTTGAAGCTTCCAAGTTACAAAGGGTTACCATTTCTGGCATGGCTGCGTGAGGGTGCTGCATGGCATGCTGATCGCAATTGTTTTGCTGGTTTCCTGGAATCGCGGGTTTTTTTGGAAGGTGAATCACAAGGGAAATCAGTTGCATGAGGTTTTGCATTTGTGTGTGTTTTGCTTTCATTGCAGACGCATCTTTGGGTTGAAAATCACACTGAAATCGCGGCATCTTGAGGCTGAATGCATTTGAGGACTTCGAATCGTAAGGAGATGACATGAATTGTTTGCTGCTTGAGAGGTTTTACTGTAACTAAAAACTCAGAGGCATATCCCTATTGTTTTTGCATTTTGAGAGGGCCTGCAGACTCAGAAATCACGATCAAATGAAGACAAGAGCAAAAATAGGTTTCTTAGGAGCAAAGGGTGTAGATATCGACAGATGATTGACACTCCACGTCACCACACTGCACTTCACATCACAAATCACCATACAAACTGTCATCAACCTCAGAATGCATCGAATGGCGCATAACCACCTATGGTCATGGTCCGGCCACATTTGCACATCACAAATTAAATTACAACAACGCAAAATAATTCTTGGTTTTGAAGTGCTCGTGTAAGAAATATCAGTCGTGTTGAATCTTGTACATATATGGCACGTGCATTGTGTTGCAGTATGTTTCAATCCAGAATACATGTGACGCAGATGGAAAGAGTTATGACTTCTACTTCACCTTTTTTGATTCTTCTGCAGAATCCTTGTGACTGGGTGATGGGGTGGAGTAGTAGTGGTGAGTTTGTGTTTTAAGATGAGGCGCTACAAACACGCCGATGTGGGTGTACCATCAGCTGGCTCTGGAATTTGTTCGGCCGCGCCTTGGCGAGCTGATCCAGAAGTGCTTGCAGAGACCCGAGGACAGGCATGCTCCACAAGTTGCCCAAATGACCACGCCACTGACAAAGGGGGAAGCCAACGATTCGAAATTTGCCTGTATTTGATGGCCCTCAGTTTAATAGCCTTTGGGCACTGGGGAGTGCGCTGGGGTTATGTGGGCAAAGCAAGCATCCACAGAGTTCTGAAACCTAGTGAGGCCCACTGTGTTACAATCTTCTGCGGACTTGTAGGACTCTGACGCCGACCGGACCCTCACCGTTCACATGCGCGCGGACGACATTCAGAAGTACCCGGAGCGGTTTCGGAAAGTCGAAGGAATCTGGTCGCGTCTAACATGCTTGCGTCCTAGTTGGCCAACGATCGACACACGAGATGTTGCTTTCCTGTGTTCCCATCGCATTCTCATGAGAATCAAGCTCCTTTGACTCGTTTGTTTTATGTACAGTGGTTTGCAGTGGCTATTTGTCATGCCTGGCAGGATTACAGTTGGGGCCAGCCACCTTGCAGCATGTATGAGAAGATCATAGAGGAGAACAAGAATAACTTTACCAAGATTCTCCTCATCCAAAAAGGGTGGCTTGGCTTTGGGAGCAAGCTCCTGACAGTTTCCAACTCGCGCCAGTTGATTCTTGAAATGCCACTGTCAGACACGGGAGCATTGCAGAAGCTGCTTGCTGCAGTCAGGCCAGAAGCAAAAAAAAATGCAGGAAACCGCAAAAAACATTATAACATTACCACATGCGAACACGGCATCCGGTGTCCGCCCACATACATGCATCACCGATTATAGATTTTGAGAAGGCTGAAGTCCGTGTACTCAACTTGCAGCAGAACATCACAAAAAGTTTACAAAGTGCCAGCAGTGCTTTGACAGGTGAAGTCTTTAGAGGAGCTGTGCAATTTATCTACTTTTTGTGAACTTTGATTAGGTCGTTGGCCTCCTCAGTTGTTGATCCTACTGCTGTTTATTGTGCTGTCTTTGTGCGACTGAGGAATGCACCCTGCTCACAGCGGCTGCTTGATGCTGCGAAGAAAGCAATGATGTTGGTGCAATACCCCGACAACAAGTTCGATGAAACGTCCGTTCCATGGCATTTGAGAATCTTTCATCGAGAGGCCAGGTTGGTTGCTACAATGAGTGACATGTTAAGCAACCTGGTGATCAATCGGTCACATTACCTTGTGCCAGACCCACTATTTGGCGGAGGACTTTTGCGCTTTGATTCGCGCCAGGCCATTGACATTCTGTGACACCTTTTTGTGGGTTGTATATTCTTAGACTTGTAAGGAGCTTGAGCTCTTAAGTGTGAGATTCTCGCATGAAGCCCAAAGAGAGCACTTGGAGCGAAGGCACTTGGTTCTCTCCTTCTCCACGTTCGCTGTCTCTGCTGCCCTGCTTAGTACTTCAATGAAGACGTTATACCGCAGGCTGGCGGGGCAGCTCAGTCTCCAGACGTTTGAATGGATGAAGCTACACTCCTTTTCTACAGTGCTTGGAGGCGTGAAGCAGCATGGGAGAGCTATTTGAAATCTCCAGGGTTGAACTGCAATACCTGGCCCGGGGTGACAATGTACGACTACAGTTTCAATGTGCTTGAAGCTTAGCAGTTGCAGGTTCCAAGAGCCCTCCATCCTTGCAGCCCGCCATGCGCACATGCAATTGAGGCCCCGCAAGCGTGAAAGGAACGGTTCAGTATCTTGGCTGACGAGCTATCCAGCAAGTGACATTGTGGGCCCGAAAATATGTACATATGGCAGCGAGACATAGTGAGGCAGCTGAAGATTGTTGTCCAAATAGCAACTTTGCTTCACTTTGCTTTGTGAAAGAGCAACCTCAAACAGATCTGCCTCCAGCGGCGGCCATTGTCGCACTCGTTCTGCAGAAAAGCTCCTCTTGCCTTGTTCTGGTGACTTGACTAGCCTGACTGTGTTGCACTGTTTTCTATGCAATGTCGAAACTGACGGATCTAATCGAGAGAGCCTGTAGATCACAGCCATCTAGCAGCTTAGAAATATGTTTTGCATATGTTTGCATGTTGGTCTCGTCGCCTTGTTGGGAACCAACAAGTGTAACTTGCTCACGTTTGTGTAAAGCCGGCGTTTTGCCTATTGACTCGGTCAGGTGCTTCACATGACCCTACCTCAAGAGCAGATGATGCCGTTTGAAGTCGCTTCGATTTGGAAAGAGCTCCTTCCCCAGCAGAGTCTTCACCTGTCTATAACTATGTGAAGTTGCTTTCATCAGACATGCTTTCTCCTAGGTGGGGAGTGCTTCATGCAGAAAGGACCGCCCAGCAGGGGTTGTTGAAATCACTGCATCAACGCAAGTCTTATGTCACGAGCCCAGGATCAAATTCAGATCTCTTGGGTCTCCAAAATCTTTAAGCCCGCGCACAGACATGTTGCCCTTGCTACCAAGTGATCCGAACTCAGCCATTGAATCGGTGCGCTTCCTTTTCCATCAGTTCACCTCCGACACTGATGCCCTGAAAGGAGGGACAGAAACTGACGAAGCCTTTTTTGCTCAGCTTCTAAGGTGGTACTTCTGGAGTGCAAGGGCAGTGTGTTGATGAGTCTTGAGGGTGCCTTCCGCAAGCGACATTGCGAGATGCAAACCCTGCGGAACGGAGAAGCCTCTCAACTGCACGTAAACTGAGAACTGTGCATGCCATAAGAGCGTCAAGTAAGAATAGAAGCATAGCGCGCCGACACTCCTTGTGATACAGGCATTCGCATGGCCATCTTGGAACACTGAGCAGGCAGGAGGAATTGAGCGTTAGCTTTTTTAGAGATCAGTATTTTTGTCACTTCTAGAGGGTCTTTGATGGATCCGGTGCCACACTTGCAAGCGCAATTGTCCAAGCAGGTGTTGGACGAACATCACCGAAAAATCAGCGAACAGCAGTTGCAAAGATGGCGAGAGGGAGCAGCGGATAGGCAGCCGCAGCCACCTGCCCAGCAAAAACCAGAGTGCTATGATAAACCTCCCAGAGTGCCATTGATTGACCCTTACGCTCCTGAGACTGCTTATCCTTCAAGCGCAAGCACGCCTGTTGAAGTATATCCACCGCTTCCGCCACAAACGATGCAAACAGGACGGCATGAGCTCCCAGCACCAGCGTCCGCCCAGAGAGCCAATCCTCGAGCGATTCGGGAGCCCGAGGCACCGAGCCGCACAGCCCAGAAGCCGCGGGTTGAGCCTCAAAGTGGGCAGGAAAGGACAGCAGAGCATTCCAGTGCATTAACATCCGCAGCCCCATCACAGCCAAAGCCACAGACAAGCGCACCCAGCATTTCATCAGCCAATGAGAGCTGGTCAGCCAAGCAGCAGCGTCTTAAGAGGGAGCAAAGAGAAGCCAGGCTTGCGGAGAACCTTAGGCAGGAGAACCATGCATCTACATTTACTTATGTACGAAAAGACAAGACAAGTCTTGCCTAGAGCGCTGTGGCGCAGCAGGAGGCGAGCAGCTCGAAAAAGTGGAGAAGCCACGGAAACGCCAACGGAAAGGCTTGTTTCCTTCTGGACTGCGTGTTTGGCTGATGATGAATTCAGACAGAGCACCTTTCAGGTCTGACGAGGATGCTCGCCTTCACACCGCTGTGCCCTGGAAGCTAAAGAGAAAAGTAACGCAGAGAGAAGCAATATCACTGGTCACGATTTCGTCAAAACTCATCGGCTTTCATTTACGAATATTACGAAAGCCAGCCGATAGGCTAGGCTGGAGTTGTCGATGGGCGAACGAAGTGGTTTACCGGTAGGGCGAACCCAGATCCTGGTGGGGGAGAGCGAAAATATGTGGTCCGAAAAGCAGTGAAAATGTATTGTTTTTTTTGGTGTTGTGATGCAAGTGATGTAGTTGACGCCAAGAGTGCATCATTAGCATCATGAGGGGCTCAGGATGCTAATTGGACAGTCTTTCGACAGGGGGTGGGGGGACAGGAGACGGAAAACAAGGTGACAGGAAAAGCAGTCAGAAATCCACCAAGAAAGTGAGATGCGCGTCTCTCAACACTTTGCTATAGGAGTGGGAGGGAATGTTAGAAACGATGTCACCCGTTGAGGACCGGAGAGGGGACAGTATGCAGTGGGCAATTTTTGACCTGCTTGGGGGTGCCCCTTTGAATGTCCTACTAACCCGGTCCGTCATTTCATTTCTCTTTTCTCTATTATGCCCGGTCCGTCACTTGACTTCTCTATTAGACCTGGTCCGTCATTTTACTTCTCTATTAAACCCGGTCCGTCGCTTCATTTCTCTACTCAAGCCCGGTCCGTCATTTCATTTCTCTACTAAACCCGGTTGGTCTTTTCATTTCTCCCGGTACCAGGCTTCAGCCTCACTTGCACTTCGCGCCGCGGGCACAAGTGAGGAACCAACAGCACAAATGCTATGGTGACTTCGCTCCGAGAGGGTCACTCGCGCTTCGCGCCGCAGGCACGAAGCACAAGTGGCCAGAAACAGGTGAGCGACCACCGAAAATCACGGAGCCAACTGCGATCGGGAGTTGCAGAGGCAGGAGAGGGCAGAAAACAACGGATAAAAGTCATCAAAGAGCTTCTCAAGCCTCAACGTTGAGCTCTCAAAAGAATATCTATACCGACGGACTGGAACTTAGAACGTGGCTTCCGTTTCCAAAAAATTAGCAGCGAGAGTTAGCAGCTCTTGGACCCGGGTGACCAAGACCCAAAGTAAGAATGTGGTTACGGACATGTGCAAAAGACTACAGGATGATCACAAAAGTTCAAATACCATGTAAACACAAGAAAAGAGCACAATCACTTTCATCTTCCTTTCATTTTGCATTGCTGTAATTTCTTTTCATGTTCTTTTGCATTGATCTCCTTTCATGTTCCTTTCATTCTGCAGTAATTTCCTTTCATTGTCCTTTCATGTTTCAATCATTTCTTTTTATGTTCCCTTCACTTTGCACTGATTTCCTTTCATGTTCCTTTCATTGTGCATTCATTTCCTTTCATGCTCCTTTCACTTTTCATTCATGTTCCCTTCATTTTGCATTCATTTCCGTTCATGTTCTCTTCATTTTGTAGTCGTTTCCATTCATTTTCTTTCCTTTCGCATTGTCCCTTCATGCCCCTTTCGTTTTGCATTCATGTCCTTTCATTTAGCATCCATGTTTTTCATGTTCCTTTCATTTTGCATTCATGTCCCTTCATGTTCCTGTCATGTTGCACTCACGTCCTTTCATTTTTCCATCATGTTGCACTCGTTTCTTTTCATTGTCCTTTCATGCTCCTTTCGTTTTGCATTCATGTCCTGTCATTTTCCTCCCCTTTTGCGTTCATGTCCTTTCATGTTCCTGTCATTTTGCATACATTTCCTTTCATTTTCCTTTTCATATTGCATTCAGTTCCTTTCATGTTCCTTGCATGTTGCATTTGTTTCCCTTCATTTTACATTAGTGTCGTTTCATGTTCTTTTCATTTTACCTTCATGTCCTTTCATTTTCCTTTCTTTGGGCATTCATGCCCCGTGGTTTTCCCATCATTTTGCGCTGCTTTCCTTTCACTTTCCTTTCGTTATGATGCATGTCCTTTCATGCTCTCTTCATTTTGCATTCATGTCCTCTCATTTGCTTTCCATTTTTGATTCAGGTCCTTTCATTTTCCGTTCAGCTTGCATTCATGTTAATGTTCTCTTCACTTTGCATGTATTTCCAGTATTGGTCCCTTCACTTTGCATTCATGTCCTTTCATGTTCCTTACTATTTGTATTCATTTACTTTCATGTTCCTTTCAATTTGCATTTGTTTCGTTTCATGTTCCTTCATTTAGCATTCATGTCCTCTCACTTTCCATTCATTTTGCATGCATGTCCTTTCATTATCTGTTCATTTTGCATTCATGCCCTCTCATTTTCTTGACGTTTTGCCGTAATTTCCTTTCGTGTTCGTTTCATTTTGCATTCACTTCCTGTCATGTTCCTTTCATTTTACATCAATTTCCTCTCATTTCCTTTCGGTTTCCTTCAAGAGGTGCTATGCTCAAACCGGTCCTCCTGTGTTGCTGAACCATGAAGAGACGCATTCTAAAAGGTTTTCTGCCCATTCTAACACTGAATGTTTGAATATAGGGTTTAAGTGGGGTCATATGGCATCCACCGTTTCCAAAAACACATTCTATCTTCCAGTCCGTCGGTATAAAAACGTCCAAAAATGCAACCCTGCCCATGAAAGTGACGACGCAAGTGGACAAGCCCCTATGTTTCTAATGGAAAGGCGCTTGGCCTTCGCTCAGCTCAACGTTTTCCTAGCGCATGGGCGCCACTTCTATCCTATAACCGCTAATGGGCCTTGATCGAAACCTTGTGTATACAGAGCCTGTCATATCGTCCCTCAATGCGAGACTTTCCGCCTCTGCCTCCTATTTCCCCATGTGCCGTGCGCTGTCGGATTCACTCCATAACCACATTGATGTCTTCTTACGGAGGCTGGCTTTCGTCCCCTCTTGTCTCAGGTTTGTAATAAGTTTTGGCTTTGGGCAGTGGTCCGGGCTAAGGCGAATTTACAAGATCCTCAATCTTATGCCAGCCCAAAAGCTGAGGAAAAGGCGCGAACCGATCCAAAGACAATAGTCATGATGCACACGC